TAGCCAGTTCTGAGCTCAGCCGAAATTTCAGTTTTGACCAAACGTCATTGAAAGAGACCTTTCTAGAATCAGTTTTCAACGTAGAATTTGAAAATATTAATGAGAATAAGTAAAAACGTAAAGGGAAAAAGTTGTGAACCATTGTCTGAAAAAGAATAGTGTTTAGCTTTTTCGACCTTGTCTCAGTATTTCGCGATTTTCTCCACGAAGAAAAGGATTTTTGAAGTTCGGAATGTGTTATGCGGAATCAGCGTCCAAAGACGAACCAGAATATGTATTAAAATCGAAAAAATAAAATTCACTTGAATTTTGATCTAGCTGAACCTTATATTTTTAATAAATCTGCCAAACTTCGCCAAAGCATTATTTTTTCAAACAAATAAATGGCAACCAGATTTAGTTCGAATTGTCACAGAACAAGTTTTGGCTCAATCAGGCGTACCGCGTAGAAGAAAGAGGGAGAATACGTCTACTTTTCCCTAAAAAATTTGATTTCCGCTTTCAACACTAACCATCGAAAATGGTATTTTATACAAACTTGTGGATAGAGCTGGTACAAGAACAAACAATAAATTGGTTTATATACCGACATCAATGATTAATGAAGTTTTAGCAAGTTACCATGATCATCCAACTGCTGCTCATTCTAGCGTTCAACGTAGATGCAAAAATTTAAATTTAAATGTTCTTGGCCCCATATGAAATCAATAATGCAAAATTATATATCATCATGCGAAAAATGTTGAACCACCACAAGGACCATTGGAATGACCTATTGCGGACCAACAATAGAACAATCGGCACAAGATAACAAAAATATATTGGTGATTACAGATTATCTAACAAAATTCGTGGTGGTAAAAGCAGTACCGAACAATACTGCTCAAACTGCAGCTCAAGTATTTGTTGAAGACTTTATCTTTAAATTCGGCGTTCCAAGGCGGCTTATTACCGATCAGGGTGTCCATTTTAACAACGAATTAGTGAAGGATATCACATTATTATTTGGTGTTAATCATATTCAATCAACACCATATCATCCGCAGACAAATGGCCAAGTTGAGAGGTTTAATGTTACATTTAGACCACAACTGGCCAAATTATACAGTGAAAATATTAATAATTGGAATGATTATTTATATCGTTTCGCTACCGTTCCTCACTGAAATAGAGGTGTTACATGTGTTTAAGAAGGTACGGCACCAATGAAATGAGATACATTAGGCAGTCCCCTTTCCAGATAAAATTCAACCTATCGGATCATACTAATTCCGACAAGGTCCTGTCAAAAATTGTCGGAAATCCCGATTCCAGGAGGTCGTTCGTCGAACCCTATCCGATACCTAGTCATTCCGCTTTCTGACAGCTAGATCTGACGAACGGCATCCTGGAACTGGAATTCCGACAACGTCCGATAAGATCTTGTCGGATTCTAACACCTATCGGATTCTTCGTCCTCGGTGATTATCTGAATGATTTGCACTTACATAAAAGATACAAATTAGACATATGTTCGCATCATATTTTTGTCTAAAAGCGTTTCTTATTATCACTGATCATTACTGTAAAATTTTGCGTCATTATATGATATCTAAAATCATGATTGCGCGTTGCCAAGAAGGAATTAAACATTTCTGTTTTGATCATGACTTTGACATGAACGATGCTTGTTTGATTCATTCCTACGCAGTAGGAATTGTTTCCTCTTTGTAACGGGTGGCCCATCAATAATGAAGGTCTCAGTATTTTTTGAATATTTCCGTCAGTTTTCGTCCTTTCGACCTGGTTCTTTTTAAAAAAATGCGCCGTTTAATAATCTACACAACTCAATAAAAAGAGGCTGTCGAAAGGAATAACTAAGAATTCATATCCGGTCAGTAATACTATTGTCCAAAAAGACTCACTTTCAAGCTACTGACTTTCGTTTTTTACAACGTGGCGCCGCCCCTTGGCCACAAACAGAAAAAAAATGACTAGGCCATTCTGTAGCCAATGCAAAGACCTATCAGTTGAGCGAATGTATATTTTGACATACTGTAAATTTAGCCTAAAAAAGCTGGTTTTTTGTCCTTATTTATTCGCGTTTGAAGGGATCTTCCATTCAGGCTCACCGAAAGTTTGATTTCGTTATGTTAAGTATTAATAGAATGCATAGTCAAACTTATTACCAAATTGAAGAAAAATGTATTTTCTATCGTGTTCATCCGAACGAACTGTTGCAGTCCTCTTTTCCCGTAAACCCTGGAATCTACTTAGCTAGAAGAGGAGAAATAATTAGTTTTGTAAAAATAGGGCGTTTGAAAGTGGGTCGTTTTGGACAATAGTATTGCTGGTCGGACATGAATTCTTAGTTATTCCTTTCGACAGCCTCTTTTTATTGAGTTGTGTAGATTATTAAACGGCGCATTTTTTAAAAAAGAACCAGGTCGAAAGGACGAAAACTGACGGAAATATTCAAAAAATACTGAGACCTTCACTATTTATGGGTCACACGTTATTTGTAGCTGAAGTCGACACCGGCAGCTATTGACAGACCGAATTGCTGCACTCTCTCTTCTATTGATGCAGTCATATAACGCGAGCAAAAGCAACAGAGAACAAAAAACGTTTGCTCGTTCTGACACGTTAAAAGAAATCATTCTTCTGATTTGTTTTGGCGTACTGTTTTGAAGGAAACTAAGCACGTAGTTGGAAGATTCATAAATAAAAGAATTCGCCACATGTCACTCGGTGAAAACTTTCCAACTCGACGTTTAGTTATGTTGCTCGATATTCATCTTAATTTGGCCAGCTCAGCAACACAACGTTCGCTTTCTCATCTGCATCACATTTTCATTGATGTGGAAACTTTTGTTGATGCTGATGAATGTGTTGATTTCATTACCGATCTTGACGACAATGACGGGTGTACGATGGTCGTCTCTGGCTCACTTGGCGAATATATTGTGCCGCTTATTCACCTACTGCCTCACATCAAAGCCATTTACATGCTCGATTCGAGCGAAGAACAGTGGAAGAATGAAGATTATAGGAAAATTCGTGGTGTTTACTCTGATATACAGTCGCTATGCAATCGATTATGTTCTCCAAGTCACCACCGTTGGCAAGAACCATTGTCATTTAGTACATTTCCTCCAGTTTGGGTGTCGAGTAGTTCAGATCATCAAGCAGAAAAGCAAGAAGCCATGTTCATGTATGCTCAATTGCTGCGTGATATTTTGCTCGAAATGAACGAGAATAGGGACGAAACGAAACGCGAAATGCTTGAAGAATGTCGCCAATTATACTCAGACAATGAGGCTCAATTACGCCACATTGCCGATTTTGAACGAGAGTACACAGCGGAGCGAGCTGTATGGTGGTTCACCAAGGACACGTTCCTTTATCGGATTTTGAATCAAGCGTTGCGCACGCAAGACATTATTATTCTATACAAGCTTCGTCTATTCATTAAAGATTTATATTTTCAACTGAAAAGTTTACATGATGAAGCGACAACAACCACATACACCGTTTTCCGTGGTCAGGGTATGTCACACGAGGAATTTCGCGTCAAGCTGTTGAATAACATTGGTGGTCTTCTCTCAATCAATACGTCATGTCGACTAGTTTGAATCGGAATATCAGCGACATGTTCGTTGTCCGCGATCCACTAGTTATGCCTGTTCTATTTCAAATCGACGTTGATTCTCGTCAGAGCATAATGAATACATTTGCAGATATTCATCATTTGAGTGCAATGGGTGAAGAAGACGAAGTGCTGTTTTCGATGGGTGCGATTTTTCGAATTCTCTCAGTGGAACAAAGCGCTGATGGCGTCTGGCACGTTTGTCTTCGTCTCTGTACTGATGAAGACAAACAATTGGCGCAGTTGCGAGAGCACATGCGCAAGCAAATTTGGCATCCACGGGAACGACTTCGACTCGGGAAACTTGCACTTGAAATGGGTGAATTTACGAAAGCCCAAATATTGTATAAAGCAATGCTCGATGACGCAAAATTTATTCATAACGACTCTCTTCTTTGCGCTTTACTGCACAGTGATCTCGGTGCTATTTATGGTCACTGTGGACAGTACGCTGACTGCCTTCGTGAATACGAGCGTGCGATTACACTCAACGAACAGCATCATCCATCGAATCGTCTTGCTGTAGCGTCGATTCGATGTAACAGAAGTGCGATATTCTCTCTTTTAGAGGAATATGATCGAGCCCTTATCGAGTGTCAACATGCCATTGCCATAGAGCAAAGTACAGGACAAGCACGTCCGCTCCGTTTGGCCACATACGATGAACAGATGGGCGAAATTATGATCGCAAAAGGTAAGGTATCTGAAGCACTCACGTGCTACGAGCGTGCACAGACCGTTCGACTTGAACACATGTCAGGTAATCATCCAGATTTGGCTAGTCTTTATAACAAGATGGCGAGTGCATACGCGGTACAGGAGCGCCTCAGCGATGCGTATGCCTGGTGTAAGCGAGCGCTCACCATTCAACTCGACTGTCTTCCACCAGGCCACATTGCTCTGTCCGAAACATATGCTCTGCTAGGCAATATTGCATATGGTCAATCCCAGTATGATGAAGCACGACGACAACAGGAAAGTGCATTAGCATTACAAGAGAGAAATCTGTCAGCGAACCATGTGCTGACGGCGCATACGCACGTGAGTCTCGCGATGACGTTACTTGCACTTGGTGAATACAAAGTGGCGGCTGAACATACCACGCGAGCGTTGGCCGTTTTTCGTACCATTTTTCCGTCTGAACACCAAGAAATACAGCTAACACAAGAACTCCTTAATATGATACAACGCGAACAATAGTTATAAAAAGAGAATTTCCTGGGAAATAGCGACTTTTAATTAAATAAATTGTTTATTAGTTCAACGATTTGTCAACAGATCGAAAACAACTGATCAGTTAGATAGTTCTCGTGTTTTTAATAGAAACTGTCGCTTTCTGACTTACTTACTTTACTTTGCCTGCTTTGTTCTCTGTGTTCATCTGCTCTGAATTTTTCTGTCTTACTTTCACAGAAACGATCGACTACTCGATGCGCTTCTGCGCGCCATTTACCGATAGAATTGCATGTTGTGGAAATTGCAGTATCGATTTATGTAAACGTACTAATACCACAGTAGTTCTTTTTGTTCGATTATAATAATGCTTTACATGATACAACAGTAGAATTGACCGATCAAATGAAAATATTGTTATCTCCGTATTTAGTGTTCTATCGATCAACAGTCAACCGTCACCCATCACCAATCATCGCAGCGAGGGAGAATCACACGAAATCCGTTATAAGTTCACTGATATAAAAGTGATTACTACTATCAGCTAAATTTATAAAAACAAAGAATCAACGAGGCACGTACGAATCATATGTAGCGATCTGCGGGACGAAAACGTTTTGGTCCCGGTCCCGTGGAAAGAACTCATTTTTAGTCCTGGTCCCGTGGTAAATATTTTTTCAAAGTAACGCAGGTAGTTTGAAAGCTAGGGCGTTGTAATGCGGGGCCTGAGACAGCATGCGTGAGTGGTATTAGTTGAGGACTTTTAGAATTTTGTGAGTTTTTTCTGGCAGAACTAGTACCTGTTTACAAAGAAGCACCGAAACTACGAAATTTTTATATTCTATACAAGACTATTTTCAAAAAATCCTGATCCCGGTCCCGTAAAAAGTCCCGCGGGATCGGGACCATCCCGCACATCTCTAATCATATGTCCAACTTCTACCACGTGACGATGAAAAAGAAGTATTCGAACGTTTACTATTACATAACTATAATTTGACATTTATGCAATATCGTGCTCATCTGTTAATATCAAAAAACAATATTTTAGTGTACATTTATACGTTTAATTTTCAAGTTTTTCGTAGATTCTGCTGAATCAAGTCTAACTGGCTGTGAACACTTATTCAACAAATTCTTAAATATTGATCCAACGTTGAATGCTTCACAATTAACAACAAATGATCAAAGTAGTCTCCATGGCATGTTGATGATCAATGTAAAAATTATAGGAATAACTTTTTCATGTTTATTTAGATCATCATCCTTATATGAATACGAATAATTTTCATAACAATGACACAAATTCACAACTGTGACATTCGATGTTGGATGAAAATCCTGATTTTGTCATACAAGCTCAGATATCTGATCTACAACATACTAACTCAATGGCTCTACAGTAAAACAATAAACCCGAATAAACCGAATGTGCGATCATTACTACGTTTACTCAATGAAACTGACGCATAGGGAGAACGTTTCGGTAAGGTCATAATACCTTCATAGATAAATGTCTGTATTCCTATTAGTGACAGTTACCGTTGCAACACGTTGTTCTATTATTTTTTATTCAGATTCATCATTCCACACAAAAATGCAGAATCGAGAAATTAGTGTTTTAAGTTGTTCTATACATCAGAATAGCTTATCTAATGCATCAAATTCGAGTCTTCATAAACATAATCATAAAAACAATAATCGTAACGTTCATTCTGTCTTGCAGAACATTAAGGCGCGGGTAATTCACAAAGTTTCAGCAGATGATATATCTGTATGAAGCATACATCAGTCGATAGCCCTTGAAGAGGTGATCCCAAATATCACCTTTGAAAAAATTCTAGTCCTTTCCTTCGTGGAGAAAACCTCGAAATACTTCGTTCTTGTCCAGTTTGCAAAAAATTCGATATTTAACATAAA